GCTGGGGGATTGAACCGCGGTCCCTGTGCTTTGTTGAGCTTGTTCTAAGTAGGTGCTTTAGACCACTGAGCCATCTCACCAGCCCTAGAATTTCTTTTAGATTTTATTGTTTATTACTTAAAGAGAATAAAAATAGTAAATATAAAGAAAACTTTGGAAATGATCCAGAATTTCACTAAACAAAATGATAGAAATTCAATGATGGTTGTTATACTTCATATTGTTGTTTCTAAATTAGTTGTTCAAATTACTAGACATAAGCATGTAAAATTATAGCTGAGTGGAGGTGACCATTTTGTGACCTTTAGCTACAAGATAAAATGCCACCCTTTCTCTATTTACAATTTTCATAGACTTACTCCAATAAAACTTTCTATTCACATTTTAGTTATAACCCTTATTTGATATTTAATTATTTTTATGTAACAAAATTCAAGTTTTAAAATACTGCATAAGTATAATCAAAGAAAGGACTCAATGCCATAAATAATAAAATTGAAAATGAGATATCACTGTGGTCTGTGAAACCACATGTTCAATAATTATCTTCTCCAGTGTTGTGTGAATGGTGATCTTGAAGGCTTCCTCTGTGAGCTCTGTATTAGAGACGGTACTGGGTCATGCCCCAGCAGAAGAACCAGTGATCCTATTCTCCTGTTGGTTTAGCAGTGAGTGACAATCTACCATCAGAATTGCTCTCTGGGGCTGGAAGACAGCTCAGTAGTCTAAGAGCCTGCCTGGCAAGAGTAAGGACCCAGGTTCGATTCCTGGTACCACATGCCATGAGGGCTCCCAAACCCTCAGCCTGCTGTTGGCCACTGAAACTGGGTGTGGTGACACATACCCATAATCCCAGCACTGGGGAGGCTAGGACAGGAGGATCACTAGGAGGCCAAGCTGTGTAGTGAAACTCTGTACCAAAGAAAAAAAAAAAGAAAAATACCTTAAAAATTGGAAAGAAAAAAAATTGCTTTCTGAGGGAGATACCTCAGAGCCACAGCGCCTGCCTGGCCAGCACGAGGTCCTGAGTTCAATTCCCAGTACAAAAGAATAATATAAATAAATAATTGCTATCTGAAAAAGTGTGCATATGCATGGACTTGATGACCAAGACATGGAATCAGGCTTTCAAGGATTCAGTAAGCTTACAGCTTCTGGCTTTCTTTTTTGAGACAGGATCTCACTATGCAGTTCAGGCTGGCTTTGAACTCACTTTGTAATCTGCACTACATTCAAATTCATGGCAATCCTCCTGTCTCGGCCTACTGAGTGCTGAGATTATAAGTACACACCACCATACCTGTCTTTAATTTAAAATTTTTATGAGAGAAGTTAAAAGATCCCAGGCTGTATGACTCAACCTTCCTTCAAGAAACATATGTATGATCACTTAGGAGGAAATGACCTTTGAGGATGTGGCTGTGAACTTCACCATGGAGGAGTGGGCTTTGCTGGATCCATCCCAAAAGAAGCTCTACAGAGATGTGATGAGAGAAACATTTAGGAACATGGCTGCTGTAGGTAAGGATGACACCACTTTCTCATTTATACAGATGAAGCACATTGTTGCTCATCAGTGCATTTTCATTTATTTTATTTTATTTTTTAATAGCTTGCAAATTGGGGCAGGTGAGATGGCTCAGTGGGGGCTGGTGAGATGGCTCAGTGGTCTAAAGCACCTACTTAGAACAAGCTTAGCGAAGCACAGGGACTGCAGTTCAATCCCCCAGCACCACAAGCCAGCCAGCCCTGCCCCCTGGTGGGCTGAGCTGCCCCCCCACAAATAAATTTAATAGATAAATAAAATGAGCAGTACTATTTAAAAAAATAGATTGCAAATTGAAAAAAAAATTTACAAACATAAATGAATATAACAATAAAAATTGTCCAAAATAAAAATGAAGAAAGAATTTACAGATCAGCCATAATAGTTAATTGTGTCAAAACCAAGAAACTTATATTCATATAATTAGAATTCTCAAAGTAGAAAGGTGTAGGCAATAAATATTTAAAGATTTAAAATTTTTTAATTTAGTCCAACTTATAATGCCACATTTCCAAGAAAAATGAACCTTTTGCACAAGAAATTTAAATAAAATCATACCAAGATACACAAAAATGAAATTGTCCAAAACTTATGTTAAAGAAAAAAATCATTAAAGCTTATACATAAAAAATATTAGCTGGAGCTGGGGAGATGGCTCAGTGGAATAAGCGCTTCTCTGGCAAGTGTAAGGGCCTGAGTTCAATCCCCGGTTCCGGAAAAAAAAAAGAAAAAGAAAAAAAAGAAAGAAAGAAAAATATTAGCTATGGAAGAACAAAATTAAATAGCATCTTATTCCACATT